AAATTCCTGACCGTACGGGCAGGTGCATGGGGCATCATGCGGGAGGTGAGGGCGATAAGGAAGAATCACCTCACTCTGGGGGCCTTGAAGCTGTCACCAGTGCCAATACAGCTGCTTGCCTCCACCAGAGTAGATGACACCGGAGTCTGGTGCTGGTGGCGAACGATCGGCCTCCCAGGGAGCCCGAATCATACCATAATCACCGAGCTCAGGATGATCTCCCCTCGGTGGAGGTGGCCCCGAAAACGGGTGATGGTGCCGACCTCTGAGACTCCAATCCCTGCGCAGACGTAGATCTGTGGCTAGAGTTAGCTCGGGCGTGTCCCCCTACAGGTTTTTTTTTCTCCGAAAAATGAAAACACCTAACAAATACTCCAGAATGCTCAAAAATAATACAGAAATCGTCCCCCGACTATTTTCTAGCTACTTCCCACATCCAAAGTGGTGTTCTTGTTTTCTCTGGACACCCTCCGCGCAGGAACCTCACCTCCCTCCCACCTCCGCCTCATTCACGCATTCACCCCGTCATCGGTCATTATCACAATCGGTCATCAGCATCACCAGGGGCCCCCCAATCGCCAAACGATCGGTCCAAAACGCCTTCACGCCCTCCAGACTGCCAAGGAGGCCTCCAAGAGCACTCCCGGAGAGAGCCCTAAGGATTTGAACGTTCTCGCTGTTTCCGCTTCCCGCCGCTCCAAGATGGCCCAAGAGGCCCCCAAGATCATCCGAAGACGGCCCAAGAGGCCTCCAAGAGGGCTCCAAAACCGCCCAAGAGGACCCCAAGACAGCCCAAAACGCATCCAAGACTGCCCAAGAAGCCCCAAAGACGGCTGCAAGAGCGTGCCCAGACGGGGGTTCCGAACGGACATTGCGAGCCCTCAGCCCCGAGATGCTCCCAGAGGCCCCAAGAGGTCCCCAAGAGGCCCCAAGAGATCCACAAGAGGTCCCCAGGAAGCCCGAAGAGGCCCCCAAGAGGCTCCCCAGAGGCCCCCAAGAGGCCCCCAAAAGGCCCCAAAATTCCTCCCAAGAGGCCCCCGATTGCCTGCCGAAGAGATCCCAAGAAGCATCCCTGAGGACTCTGGCCCACGTTAGCATCGTCATCGTCGCCGCCGTCGCCGCCGCCACCGTCGTCGTCGTCGTCGTCGTCGTCGTCGTCGTCGCTGTCGTCGTCGTCGTCGTCGTCGTCGTCGTCGTCGTCGTCGTCGTCGTCTCCCTTCAGGGTCGGCGGCACTGGCCGTAAGGCCTCCGTAATCCGCGCGGAACTCCAAAAGTCAGAGTGAGGGTTCCGAACGGTCTGACGCCATCCCTGGGTGCGCGGGTGAAGAAGTATTCCGTGGCCTGGATTATCCTTGTTTGCTGCTTGTCGTTTGTTGTTTGTTGAAATCTCACTTCTAAAGAATGGTTTGTGTTGATCCCCCCCTCCGGTGCACCCTACATTTTCAAGTGAAGTGCCCCTCCAAGGGCTCGTACCCTGCTTTCCAAAAGGGAGAGCCTTAAAAAAACCTTGACGCTCTGATTGCGCTCCCAGCCCCAACAATACAGCAAAAACGGTTCCCCCCTGATACCTCCGCACAAAGTATTCAATGTCGCGCTCCCGCGCGGGACGTCCTCACAATTGATCCAGGAATCGCTCTCTCGAGCAGAACATCCTTGCAATGTATTCATACGCCGCGCCAAAAACATGCCAGAGACACGACTTCCTTCGGAATCGCGCAGTCACCCGGGACTTCTTCGCGATTCATGCGGGACGGACGCGTCAATGACCCGTCCGCTCGATCTGGCCGCCTGGGCCCGCCCGCATGGCCGGCCCGTTAGAGCCCGCCCGCCAGATCCGCCCGTCTGGTTCTGCCATGTGCTATCTGCTCCTATTACCCTATCCTGCTAATTCTCGTGTGCTCCATCCTTTTCCCTTTCTATTGCTCCTACCTTATATCCTCTCTCGTTCTTTCTTCTTCTTCTTCTTCTACTTCTCTCTTGTTTTTCTCTCTCTCTCTCTCTCTCTCTATTTATATGTATATATATATGTATATCTTTCTCTCTCTTTTAGGGGCTGCGCCAACATCGGATGGGAGAGAAGGAAGATAATCACCCAACGGGGGTATAATCGATGACGAAAAAGGCGGGTATCGAGAATTTGGGGCACACGTAGAGAAAAGCGCGCGAACAGATAAGATCGAACCGTCTTCATATTAAAAATGCGGCTATTGTTGGTCCGCCCTCTGTTGCACCTCGTGACTTTTCAATTCACGTGCTTCTCTCCCGGCTCGCACCCGGTTCTAACAACAAATCCTTGAGCGTCAAATTGGGCTGCTGGCCCCCTAGAGGCAAAAACGACTCCCGCTTGCTACTCCCTTCAAATTCACTCAAAATCGCGCTCTCGCGCGGGACTTCTCACATGTTATCCAGGAGTGGCGCTCTCCCGTGGGACTTCCTCGTAATGTATCGAGACGCCGCGCCCTCGACACTCAGGAATTATGCTCTCGCTCTGGACTTCCTTATGGCAGCACGAAGCGCAATGGAATAAGCGCCGGACGCAATCAGGCACACTTCGACTGAGCTCCTTCGCAAAATCGTTGCAAGCATCCTTGCAAGCACCGCTTGCTGCGAAATCCGTTGCGCGCGAGCCGACAAGTTCGAATAACTCCACATCCTCCTTATGTTCCTCCTCCCTCTTCGTGAGTTCCGTCATTTGTATCCTTCCTCCTCGCCCTACAATTTCTCCATTTTGTCCTCCTCCTCGACCTCCTCCTCTTCCTCCTCCTCTTCCTCCTCGTAATCCTCTCCTCTTCTCATCTCCTCTTCTCTCCTCTTCTCTCCTCTTCTCTCCACTCATCTCTCCTCTTATCCTCCTTGTCTTGCCTCGCCATATCAGTTCGCCTCCGCGGGGGCGGGCGGGGGCAGGGGGAGAGGAAAAGGAGAGAAAGGGGACGGGCTGGAGGAGGAAGGGAAAGGGAAGAAACCCTGGGGTGGGAGGGACACGGCTGGAAGTTGGGCCAGGCCAACCTCCAATCAACCTCACCCCACCCCGGCCTGACGCCCCTGAATTGCCCCTGTGTGTCGCCCAGGACGCCATTCGAAGATGACGGAGGCGGGGGCGAGAATGGAAAGGGGGAGAGGGAGGGTCCCAAGGGAACGAGGATGTGTCTCAGCCGCTGCGTGGAGACTCGGGCGCTTGACGCCAGCGTGGCTCAAAGGATATGATGCCGACAATTGTACCCAAACCACTGATTGTGTAACCTGTGGAACCTACACATCAAGCTCTGACACAACATCTCGGGCGTCGTCGATAGAACCGCGCACCGCGAGAGCCCGAAACTGCGATGCCCAAGCACCCTACCCCCATAGATGCGCAAAGAGTGAGAAAGGACAGAAGACGAGAAGGATGATGATGATGATGATGTAATAGAAACTTGAGAATGAGGAGTAGTCGAATAGGGGCACGTGAATACAATAGGCACCCGCCGGAGGTTGACGAAGGGAAGGGAGATGACAGCGCCTACGACTTCCAAGATAATCAGGACAGGGATGTGGCACGATCGCTTCCAATGGGAAAGCTTCTGAGCGAGCAACGACATATGTACATGTACGCCCTCCGCGATCTTGAATGCACGAACGTCCTCGTTCAAACGCCCCCCAAGGGAAGCTAACCGCGTACGTGTACATATGTTGCTGGCCTCTGAGCTTCGTACCAGTGTCGCGATGGTGAAAAAGTCACCTGCAACGAAAAGCCCGCCCCCGGCCAAGCCAACCCCCAAGCACACGGCCGACCCTCCCGAAGAGACGAAGCGGGTGCGCATCGAGTGTGTCGGACCTACACGTGCAACGGCACGCGAGCAGAAATGACCCAACCGCCCTGATCCCCCACGCGACCCGCCCACCCCCGCGTATTTGTTGGGCGTGGCTTAATGGGGGGGTCACAAATGGGGGGGTCAGAAAAGGTCCCCTTTCGTGCCCCTTTCGGGCCCCTCCGGAGCCCCAGGGGGCTCGTTTAGGTACCGTTTGGGTACCTTTTCGGACCACCCTCGCCGCCCCCCCATTTATGACCCCCCCCATTACGCAGCGCCCAAATTTGCAGGGTGCAGCGCTGCCCGGGTGTTCGGCTTGGCTGCGTCGGGCCCGGCGGGCTGCCAGGAGGCCGCGTGCGTGCCGCGGCCGGAGTTGTGGAGAGATGCGGTGGCTCGCGCCTCCTCCTCCTCCTCCTCCTCCTCCTCCTCCTCCTCCTCCTCCTCCTCCTCCTCCTACTCCTCCCCCACTTCCCTCCTCCTCCTCCTCCTCCTCCTCCTCCTCCTGCAGATACACATCGTCGTCCCCCACGCGACCCACCCGCGACCCACCCGCGACCCACCCCGCGACCCACCCCGCGACCCACCCCGCGAGCCGCCCCGCGCCCGCCCTGTCACTCTTGCCCGCAACTGCGGGGTGCTGGTCACGCCTTTCTTCATGCCGCGCTGTCCTCCTCGCATGGCGGGCCACCGTCGACCGGCAGCGCGGGACCTACGCGGGGGAGGAGGAAGGAGGGAGGAGGGAGGAGGGAGAAGGGAGGAGGGAGGAGGGAGGAGGGAGGAGGAGGAGGAGGAGGAGGAGGAGGAGGAGGAGGAGGAGAGGAGCAGGAGCAGGAGCAGGAGGAGGAGGAGGAGAAGGAGGAGGAGGAGGAGGAGGAGGAGGAGGGGAGGAGCAGAGGAGCAGGAGGAGCAGGAGGAGGAGGAGGAGAGGAGGAGGAGGAGGACCAGGAGGAGGAGGAGGAGGAGGAGAAGGAGGAGCGAGAGGAGGAGGAGGAGAGAGAGGAGGAGGAGGGAGGAGGAGGAGGAGGAGGAGGAGGAGGAGGAGGAGGAGGAGGAGGAGGAGGAGGGGAGGAGGAGGAGGAGGAGGAGGAGGAGGAGGAGGAGGAGGAGGTCACCGCGAGGGAGAAGCAACCTGCGCCCACTCGGATTGGACGACCGCCCGGCCAGCTCAGTGACCAGGCTGCGCGGCTGGCCTCCTCTCGCCCGGGGGCGCACCAGCTGGGACTCCTCGGCGAGCGCCGCCTGCAGGCGGGCCTCCGCGGCCAGGTCGACGAGCTGCGCTCGGCCGTGCCGATCAGCCAGGCCTCCCGCGGGCGAATCCGATCATGCGGTTTCCTCAGAGCGTCGACCCCCAAAAGTCTCGGCCCATTCCCAGGACCGGCTCATCGTCCCGAGTCGATTTTTTGACGGCCCCGAGGCCCGGTAAGGGCCCCCAGGACGCCGAAAATCACGAAACACCTCCTGTTATAATTTTTTGCACTGCTCTAGGGGGTCTGGGAAGCGGGCGCCTCGAGCCCCTGCCCACCACCGCACGTGCTGCAATAGGGGGGCCAAGCGCTGCGCCACCGCCCCTCCCTCGCACAGAACAGCCCCAGCGGAGGAGGGCCGGTTGAACGACAGCGGCGGCTCTCCCACCGGCCCCACATGAACGCACGTTTTTGCACTCGCGGTCTACAGTGGGCGCTGTGGGGGCGGAGGGGGGGTGCTCGCGGACCTCCTTCTCGGGGCAAGGGTGCCAGAGGCACTGGGAGGAGAAGGAGAGGAGGAGGAGGAGGAGGAGGAGGAGGAGGAGGAGGAGGAGGAGGAGGAGGAGGAGGAGGAGGAGGAGGAGGAGGAGGAGGAGGAGGAGGATTTTTGCAGCAGCGCAGATGGCAGCCCTCATGTGACCTCGAGGCGGGGCGAAAACCTCGGGGCAAAATTCGCCGGCCCAACGGGCCAGAGGCGTGCTAAGATCTCCGGTAACTGGTTAAGAATTCTCTAGTTCGCGCGCGCGGGGCGGCCCCTGGGGGTCCCCGGACGAAAAGTACCCCGGCAAGGTCCTGAGAGAGTCCCGGGAGGAGTCCCCCAGAGCGCTCCAGGAGCGCTCCATGAGCGCACCAACAGGGCTCCGAGACGTCCCCGAGAGCCCCAAGAAAGGCCAAGAGGCCCCCAAGAGGCCCCCAAGATGGTACACGAGGGGTCCGACATGCCACAAGATCGCTCCAAGACGCCCAAGATAGCCCCCAGACGCCCCAAGAGGCCTCCCAGAGCACTCCCAAGAGGGCCCCCGGAGGCAAAATTCATTGTTTTTCCTTAGGTTTTTGACAGATTTTGGAGCTTCCACCTTTTCGGTTCCCGACGCCCCAAGACGGCCCCAGAGGCCCCCAAGATCGCCCCAAGAGGGCCCAAGAGGCCCCCAAGAGGGCCCCAAGATGGCCCAAGAGGGCTCGAAGACGGCCCAAGAAGCCTCCAAGACGGTCCAAGAGGGCCCCAAGAACACCCCCAAAGGGGCCCCAGAGAGGGAACACGAAACAAAATTTCGCGCCCTCGGCCCTAAGAAGCCCCTACGAGGCCCCAAGAGGCCCCTAAGAGGCCCCAAGAGGCCCCCACGAGGCCCTCAGGAGGCCCCCAAGAGTCCCCCAAGCGGCCCCAGGAGGCCCCCCAAATGCCCCCCCGAGCGCCCCAGGAGTCCCCCAAGCGGCCCCAGGAACCCCCAAAGCGCCGCATTGACACCAGGCCATCGGGCAAACGGCAGACATGAGACCGTATGGGCCGGCGGAATGAGCGAAGCGATTCAATAAAAGTCGGACTCGTGCGCATTGGCAAGCCAACGTCAGAATCAACAAGAGAGATCCTGGCCAGCACAACGTCGGCAACGAGCACAATCAAATGGAGTTCGGTCGCGGCGCGCTCGAGCTCGCGGCCGCGAGCAAGCGCTGGGCCACGGCTGCCCTGCGCTGCTCGCGTGCATCCTCCACCTCCGAGGCCGAGAGGGGGAAAGGCTCGACCGAGGGAGTGGGGACCTCCTCCTCCTTGCACCACGGCCCCACGGAGACCGTGACTCCGCTCCTCTTGGGTTGGGACCTCGCACAAATCAGCTTCCAAGCGTACCTGCGCCCCTGGGCCCCGGCAGCGGGGAAAGGTGAACACTGTTGGCGCAATCCACGTACCTGGCCACCGCCAGTGTAGTTCTTGCACCGCAGACAAATGAAAACAAAACTATTGTCGCTGGCGCCCAGGAACAGCATTCTGTGCCCCAAACTCGCAAAAACTGGAGCATCCATGCCAAGAATTCCGACACCAGGGCCTCCTTTGCAGAGGCTGGCGGTTGGCTCGTCGGAAGACCGCGAGCCACGAAAACAACGTGAACACTGCCAGAACCTGCCAGTCCACGCCCAGGCATGTCTCGGACCCAGCCCTTCGCTCCGCTGAGCTGGCACGGGGGTCCGCTCCACACTCGGACCGAGATCAAGGCGAGGCCACAGCGGCATCAATTTAGCAGCAAGGAGCCCCACAGCTCCTGCCACAGCCAAAGAACGCTCCACTTCTTCTGCCTGCTCCACGTCAGGCTGGGGATGCAATATCAGGGCCCTCTTGGCCGAAAAATCAACAGCGTGGTTACCTTCGCGCAGGTAGCGTTCCCAGCTATCTTCGGCCCCGTCAACGTCGAGACGAGCCTTGACTTTGTGCACACTGCACTGCTGGGAGAACGATCCGCAAAACTGGGCAACCCCAGCGTAAGCACGCTTGGGGGAGCACTGCTCGGCCCACGGCAGACCACGGAAGTCTACACAGGCCTTGCACTCCACAAACAATTCGCACGGACCAGTAGACCATTGCAGCGCTATGGAATATGCGTGAAACTCGGCCGCCTGAGGAGTCAGCGGGCAAGGCGGCCGAACGGGCCCACGGACGCGCACAAGCTCGAGACCAGTGTCACGCTGCCAGAGGGAGAAGGCCCAACCAACTCTGTCCAACTCGAAAACAACATTCTTACTGCAAGAACCGTCCGCGGAAATCTCTCCTGAGAAAACATTGCCAACGGCAGCGTCGACACTCGGCGTATTGACCCACTCAATCTCTATACCTCCCGACTGCAAAGGCCGAGGGAAATGCCCCGATGGGTGCAAGAAGACGCCGGAGCACGCGAGGGCGTCGCCCGCCTCCCCCGCCCACCTCCTAACCTTGACCTTAACCAAGTCCTCCCTTTCGGCCTCCACAGCCGCGCACTGCCACAATCGATGCCTAAGTGTGTCAGGAGCGTCGAAGCACAGCGGGCACTGCACGCAGGAGAGGACATAATCTAAGTCAGCTGCGCGCTGCCTAGTGTATATGGCATTGCAAAACAGGGCCTTCACACAACCCTTTTGGAAGGGAGCGAGCCGAGAGCTCTGGAGCCAACGCAAGATTCCCTCGACGCAAGCCCGCCCAGGCAAACCAAGTTTGGCCCCCAGGTCCCACTCCAAAACCCTGATCACAGCCTTCTTTAAAAGCGTTTTGAGGAGCTGAGACGAGACTGAGGTCAGCGCAGTCTTATCACCTTGGTCTGTCGAAATAGTGGCACAAGAATACACGGGCCAAGAAATTCTCTCGCACGGCTTCCTTGCAACAGAGACGGGGCCCGAAGCGCTTTTGCAGAGGACCGACTCCCCACGGAAATCCGCGCCCCAAGCCTCTCTGAGCTCAGGAAGAGGCACAACAAAATAATACAAAGCATTGTGGGGAATCCAAACTTCCGTGGCCCATCGGACAATCGGCTCCACCGCCGCAAGCCAGCAGGGCCCCTGGCATGCCAGAAGCAAACGCGTGAGAGATCGGCCCTTGGCCGACGGTTGAAGAACAGAAGCCGCCTGCCGACGGAAATTCAACAGCTCGAAATCCGTGGCCCCGCGGATGTCGGCCCCAAAAAAGCTACTGGTCATAGATCCCGAAGCAAAAGCCCGACGAGCAAAACGGCCCCCGACAATCGGGCGAAGGCGGGCAAGCCTCCCACAAGAAGCCCTCGCGTTCTTCCCCCTGGGCTTAGCTTTGCTGGATCGGCCCTGTCGCCGGCGCGGCCTGCCTGCAGCATCATCAACACCTAAGTTGGCAGCGCCGGGCACGAGCGGGCCAGCCGAGCCGCCGAGGCGCGCGCCGAGCTTCTGCCCCGGCAGCTTCGAAGCAGCAGTGAGGGGCCGTTTGCCAGGATCGCCAGACACAATCGCGCCGACCTCCTCCGAGAGAATTCTGTGGAGGGATCTCACAGCAGGCGGGAGGTCGGCGAGAATGTACCCCGACGATCCCGTGGCAGACGATCCAGAATCGTCAGTGCACAGCTCGAAATAAACTTGGTGCGGCAGCACCAGACGGTCCAGAGAGCCAATGGCATGCACTCGAATGAGAGTAGTGGCGAACCCGCAGCCCGCGATGATGCCCCTCGCGGCCCAGAAGGGCCCATCCGTGAATCCCGCCAATCTGAACCATCTGCTCTGCATGTTCATGCAGATCGCAACTCTACCGATCGCCAACGGAAAATCGAACTGCTTGCGCCTAAACAAAAGCTTCCGAAGGTCGATCGTTTCATAGTGCTTGTGAAGATCGAGCAAAGCCGTGGCCGCCTGCCCTTTGTCCATGACGCTGGATTCGGCACGAAGCGACTGGCGCCAAACCACGCGCTGGGCCCCCTCAAAAGGCCCCGCCGAGAAGTACGCCCGAGGGTGGGCGCGCTCCCACTGCTTGCAAATGGGGCGGCGGACACGGCCGTGGGCCCGATACAACGCACAAAAGGTACCTATTGGTCGAAACCCGACCGTCGCTTCGGGGATTAACGCAAGCAGAACAATGGCAACTTGACTGGGCAGAAAGGCAGCCATCTCCATGACAGCGAAAATGCGAATCAGCCCTTCCAAGGTAGAACCACCCATCATGTTAAAATGCCGCATGTGGAAACCGCCCGTAACAACCGAGGCGTTATCCTTGAATCCTTTTTTGAGAATGCTCGGACAGCCTCGACAGGCGCAAGAGGGAGCTCAACGTCCAAAACATCATGGGATAACCAATCCTGGCTCCTCTCATCCCCCAAAGATCAGCTAACTTCCGACTCTCGGCCTGGAGGAGCGACAGAGGATCACAGACAATCTCCTTCTCCGTGGAAAGGGTAGTGGTCGGGTGCCACTTGGTGGCCCCTTTGGCAACCATGTGCACTCTCCTGGCCCCCCTGCCCCGCCTGGAAAGGACCCACCCCCTGAAACCCCATCGCCCCCCCCCCCCCCCCCCTGCGAGCCGGAGCCTCCAGCGCAGCCGCAGCCGCCTGGCATTCAGAGTGCAAAGCCTAGGCCTTGGCCAGCCACGGCTCCGAGGCCGTCTCGCGCATGGGCAACTCCAGGAAAAAAGCCCCCAGCCTATCCTTAAAAACAACCCGGGCTCCCAAGGCCGCGACGAGATGAACGGGGGCCTGCTGCAGGGAGGCCGAGATCCTGCACAGGCCCTTCTCGTCCTCAGCATTCCAGTGTTTTAAACAGTCACCGTAGATCCTACCAAGCCACCCGCGCGCAAAACGCCCCGGCGCCTCGGGCTCGGGGGGGCTGGGCAAAATAAGCTTCCAAACCAACTCGGGGGGGCGCCCCCTCATGCCGAACCTCGGGGGCGTGGCCCCCGCGGCCGCAGCCACCTCCTTTTCCGCGACGTCAGCCCAGAGCTTGCACGCCCTATCAAGACCCCCCTGGCCCCTGAAAAGCCCCCACTCCTCGCAGCTCCTCGGCGGCCCTCGAGCACCCCAGGGAGGGCGCTGGCGTGGGGGGGCGTCGGAGGCTGCCAAAAGGCCAAAGATTTCAATCTCCCCACCTGGGGTGCAACTTCACACGCACGGGGCAGCGCGGGGACAGACTAGACTCTCGCACGGCCGCGACGGCAGCAACCCCCTTCGCAATCCCCGCGCTGGCCAAGAAAAAATCAAACTGCTTCAGGCCAGCAGAGGATCGACAGGTGTGCCCCCCCGTGGCCAAGAGGGTCAAGTTTCTGGCCTCCTGAGCTCCCGACCCCAACACCGCGACAGGTTCCACGTTGAAATCGCCCCCGACAAAAAAAAAACTCCAACTCGCGGGCATCCCCCAGAGAGCAGGCGTCAGAGAGCAGGGAGAGGTTTCGGTCCGAGAGGCCCTCACAATCGTGAACATACGCCGAGATCATGAGGAGAGGCCCAGCACCAGGAAGCTCGACAATGGCAGCGACAACACGAGCCCGAACAACTTCGTGGCCAGACAGAGGAGCACGTAGCCCAAAGGCACTTCGCACCAAAATGGCTGTGCCCCCCGACGGCCAACCACCAGAACCAGTCGCAGCCGCCGTCCACAGGGACTTCCAGCCGTTCCTAGTCGCCCAACTCGAGGCAGACGGAATCTGACATTCGAACTGCTTGCGTTCTTGGAGGAGTACCACATGAGCTGTAGTCTTCTCCAACCACGCCTGGCCCGACCCCCGGCCAGACACGTTACAGGTCTCGATGACCGGGCAAAAAACTGCCCGTGGGAAACGAAGAAACATCGATGGGCTCAGTCAGAGCCTGGCTCCTGGACACAAAACCCGAGGCCAGAGAGGTGACTGTTTCCTCTGGCCTCGGCGGGGCTCTCAGGGGCGCTCTATAGGTGCTCGGAGAAACCCCGAGGGGCACGATCCGATCGGCCCTGGCCAGGGCGCGTCGAATCGCTCGAAGAAAGAAGCCCCTGGAGCACGAATTTGGAGCCGAGCAAATCACGGCCCAGGCGCGGGGGGCTAGCGCATCCCTCCATGGCCCGGACAGCCCAGAAATTAAAGAGGAGCTTGAGTAGCCCCATCAGGAGAAGAAGGAGAGGCCACTGGAGCCAGCGGCGCTGTCGCCTGGATCGCAATGGCCTGTGCACGCGCAAGCAGATCACTCCGCTCAGTGGCTGGTTCACCTTCTGGTCCGTCGAGACGCGCATCACCATCAGGACCGTCGTCGCCACCAGCGGGCAGGTCGGCAGGACCATGGGCGGCAGGAGCGCCATCGGCAGGGGCAGCGGCGCCACCGCCCGCCTCGGCAGACGCCACAGGGCCACCGACAAGCCCGACACCAGCAGCTCCCTTGCGACGTTTACCCGCCAGACGGGCCACTTCCTCCTTCTGCCTCTTCTCCAGCTGCTGAAACGTTTCCATGGCCGAGCCGAACATCGCCTTGACGGTCTCCTGCAGCTCGACCTGCAGAAGAGTGCGCCGATCCGTAAAGTCATTGCGATCCCCCGCCGTGAGATCG